AGGCTTTATTTTCTTCTTTAAAAAGACTTGACACTTAGTCAAAGACTGGCACCATCCCTGACTCTCATATTGCCACCTTCATTAGAGGTCCAAACCCCATGTAGGAGCAGACACGGGGCATATGTGGACTCCATTTACATATAGGGGATTTTCACGTGTCACCCTCCCTAGTCCTCCCTTGCCCCTCCTTTGGCCCCCCATGTAAAATTTTCTAGATCCACCACTGGATTCAGGAAACCTCACCTAGACCATCCTGGAGCTGAGCCTGGGAAGGGACTTGTTTGAAGGGCTTCCAGTGGGCCCACAGATGGAAAGCCTTGGGGGACTGGTGCTGGTTGGATTGAGCAGTGATTGAAGGCGGGTGACTAAAAGACTCCAAAACCTGAGAAGACTGTAGTCAGTCGAGGGTTTGTTTCTATTACCGCTCCATTTCGACCGATTAAAAATAGTTTAACATAGTCACCTGTTAATCCTGAGATGGATACTTGAGCTTTACTCTAATAAGGAGTCACAAAGACGACAGCGGCGCTTAGAAACAAATTTGAGCCTTTATTGGAATGTTGCATTAAATACACAAATCCCATTCTTTTCATAATTTGGTATTTAATAATAAAAAAAAAAACTTCTAGTCTAACAATACTGGTCTGACAGTCATCCTTATTCAGTTTCACTTCTCTTTCCTGGAAACCTGACGTGGTCTGTGTGTGAAGAATGAGAGGGCAGACAGCGAGGACGCGGGGAATAAAAGGACGACGCCTACTCAAATTCAGTAAATACTGCGTATCAAAGCTGCACCGAGGATTAAAACAGTCTCTCGCTGGCACTGATATTCGTAACATTATTTCAACCCCTGATTTCCCCAAGTTTTACATATAAAAACTTTAGTATGAAATATAAACAAGCTCTTCCCAGGATGCAAACAGACAGGCAGATGCTGAAGCTGAAAGAAAAAAGGACAAAAATATGTTCTAAGCGTGATCTCAGAGAGTCACCAGATCTCGCCTGGACTCGCGTTTTATTCGCATAAATAATGTTCTGGTGTCAGGAAAATACCATCCCACCAACATCCACCAACACCGTCATCATCATCGCCACTCAACAGATCCAGAAATTGTCTTAAAATCGTTTTGGCTTACAGACTGTTTTCCCTCATTATGAAAAGAACAAAAAGAAAAGAAACAAGAAAACGGAAAAACATTCACAACACGTTTTCCAGCCCGTCTGTTTGGTCTGGGCTCTTTTTTTTTTTTTCCTCCTTTTCCTGGATTCTTGCACACACCTCCACATGCCACCAAGCGCTGCCTAACATCACTGCCTCAGACCCACCCCACCCTCCCACTGCCAGCACAACTCCAGAAAGTTAGGACATGACTCCGAACACGGGGTTGTGGCGGCAGATGCTCGGCCCGATCTCTTCGTAGTCCTTCTTGGTGTGGCACACCTGGTAGAACTCCGGCTGAGGAAACACAAAACAGGAGCTTGTCAACATTTAAAATACTGCAAACAATCAGTGGCCAAAGATCTGAAACAGGAGGCGTGGGGGAAAACGAAACAGTTATCGCTGAAAACATGGATGAAACACGGTGCTGAACTCATGTGAAACATCCAGCAGCACAAAAACACAAAGCTTCCAGGATCTAAAAGTAGCTTATCGTGACAAATTTTGGGGG